ATTATCTGCAACTAGCAAGAAATTGCAATATGTCTAAAGCTTAAAGAATTAAAGCAATTACTACATGGAGAAAATGTCCTTAAATTTATAATAATAATAATAATAATAAGGCTCCTTGGGTGCAATCCCAAAACAACTGGAGCACCACTTGAACACCATTGGCATTGACAAATTCGCTATTAGTTAATTGCAAAAGGCGGCCTTACTAGGAACTGCTTCCATCCTGCGATGATATCAAACATCCCATCAAACATCCACATCTGCCTATCCCAGGTCCTGGGTAAGGACTCGATAGGTAGACAAAATGCCAAATCCAGTCTGAACATCTGGCTGACTGTGCGATGATTAATAATAATAATAATAATAATAATAATAATAACAACAACAACAACAACAACAACAATAGGGAAGACAGCAACAGACAGTAAGTGCCGCCTATGCAAAGAAGCTGAAGAAACAGTGGACCACCTGGTAAGCTGTTGCAAGAAGATTGCACAGACTGACTACAAGCAGCGGCATGACAAAGTAGCAACAATGGTACATTGGAAGATCTGCAAAAAATATCATTTGCCTGTAAGCAAAAACTGGTGGGATCATAAAATAGAGAAAGTCATAGAAAAATGATAAAATTAAACTGCTCTGGGACTTCAGAATTCAAACAGACAAGCACCTGCAACATAACACCCCAGACTTAACAATTGTCGATAAGAAAGACAAAAAAGTCTGGATAGTGGACGTGGCAGTGCCTGGAGATAGCAGACTAGAAGAGAAAGAACTGGAGAAGATAACAAAATACAAAGACCTACAAATCGAAATAGAAAGACTGTGGCAAAAGCAAGCAAGGGTAGTACCAATAGTCATAGGCTCCTTGGGTGCAATCCCAAAACACCTGGAGCACCACTTGAACACCACTGGCATTGACAAATTCGCTATTAGTCAATTGCAAAAGGCGGCCTTATTAGGAACTGCTTCCATCCTGCGACGATATCTGTAATACCATCAAACATCCACATCGGCCTATCCCAGGTCCTGGGTAAGGACTCGATAGGTAGACAAAATGCCAAATCCAGTCTGAACATCTGGCTGACTGTGCGATGATCAATAATAATAATAATAATAATAATAATAATAATAACAACAACAACAACAACAACAATAGGGAAGACAGCAACAGACAGTAAGTGCCGCCTATGCAAAGAAGCTGAAGAAACAGTGGACCACCTGGTAAGCTGTTGCAAGAAGATTGCACAGACTGACTACAAGCAGCGGCATGACAAAGTAGCAACAATTATGCATCGGAAGATCTGCAAAAAATATCATTTGCCTGTAAGCAAAAACTGGTGGGATCATAAAATAGAGAAAGTCATAGAAAATGATAAAATTAAACTGCTCTGGGACTTCAGAATTCAAACAGACAAGCACCTGCAACATAACACCCCAGACTTAACAATTGTCGATAAGAAAGACAAAAAAGTCTGGATAGTGGACGTGGCAGTGCCTGGAGACAGCAGAATAGAAAAGAAAGAGCTGGAGAAGATAACAAAATACAAAAACCTACAAATAGAAATAGAAAGACTGTGGCAAAAGCAAGCAAGGTAGTACCAATAGTCATAGGCTCCTTGGGTGCAATCCCAAAACAACTGGAGCACCACTTGAACATCATTGGCATTGACAAATTCGCTATTAGTCAATTGCAAAAGGCGGCCTTACTAGGAACTGCTTCCATCCTGTGACGATATCTGTAATACTATCAAACATCCACATCTGCCTATCCCAGCTCCTGGGTAAGGACTCGATAGATAGACAAAATGCCAAATCCAGTCTGAACATCTAGCTGACTGTGCGATGATCCATAATAATAATAATATATATATTCCTATTGCTATGAGTGAAGAAGCAAGCTATTGATTGTAGCATAAAAAAGTTAAATTTGGGAGTGGTTGGAGAACACTACATTCAGAGAGATGATTAAACATTAAATACTCCTGGGAGAAATTTTTCCAAAATTTCTAATAAGCGGGATTAAGCCATTTCCTGGCTATATCTGCATGTATGAATATTTTTAAAACATATATTTTAATACACACATATATTGAACATTCTTGTCAGGAATGAACATATTAATGTGGGGAAGAGGGCTCAGCATCTTCAGGTGCTGTGAAAGTAATGCCAGCATCATTGGAATTTCCAAATTAGTTAACTTTTGCTAATAAAAGGAACAGTGAAGCTAAGGATAATATGCATTAGGGTGACAGTAAATATACTGTGCAGATTTGAGGATGAAAAAGTCTTGCTTAGCAAAAGGATGCCCAAAATCAAATCAAGAAGTAATGCCTAACTAGTGATAGGAAAAAAAACTATATACACATGACTGAAATATTTAGTGGAAGTTTGATTGCAAGACAATGAGATCTCTATGTATGAAGATACTCTAATTACAAAATAAGAGTAGTTAACTTTCATAAACAGAGCTGGAGATTGTGATCGATGGCAGTGTCTTTTGGTTGGAGCAGTGTTGAAGAATAAACATGAGCAGGGTACTGAAGAAGCAAACAGGAAATTAATCCTGAGGAGGGATGCAATGAGAAACTTAAACAAGATCATGAAGAATAACTGTATTTTGAAGACATTTCCAGATCAGAATAGTTAATCAAATTATCAGCAGTAATATATGACTGTGAAAACTAAAGATAAAGTGTGAAAAAATAGATATATTCAAATTATGGATTTAGAACTAAAGAAGATTTATTACTGATTATATAAGCTCCCCAAAAATTTCAAGCACAAAACTGGTACTGACTTTTTTATAAAATGAAGATATTATACCTTATGTATTCTATCATATTCTACAATAATTCCTTAGAAAGGCTGGAGCTAGTAGAGAGCTCAGAAGTTTCCTTTTCCTTTTGGCAATTATTCAACAATGGTTATGTTACAACATTATGAAATAAGTAACATTGCATCATTGCCTTACAATGAAAAAACTCCCATTCCTACAAACCCTAGTTATAATTTTTAGTTTTTCTTGGACCAAAAGCCAAATATATTATTTGTCTGCCATGTCATGTCCATAAATAATAAATGAGAACCCTGGTGGGGCAGTTGTTAGAAAGTAATATTACAGGCTAACTCTGTCCACAGCCTGAAGTTTGATCCTGACAGGGCTCAAACTTGATTCAGGGGTCATATAATGACATTGTAAACTGCCCAGACAGTAATGTAAAGCACTATGTGGTAGTATATAAGTCTAAGTGCTATTGCTATTGCTAAATGCATATTACAAATGTAAATGTAACTATTTTCTAATCATATATTTCAATATTTCCCTCTTCTGTCACAATAAAGAAAACAAAATATTGGTAAGAAATTTAGGAAAATTTTAGGGTCCATACTGAAGCTTTTCCAAAAACTAAAATTAAATATGTTGACCCTAACTGGAATGAGGATGGCAAACTTCTTGGGAGTCAAACTTCAAATAAATTTAATAAAATAATAACAATCAGTTTAGACTTTTGTTTGGATCGCAAAAATGGATGATTCCTCCTTTTACTGAAACATCAGTACCACTGTCTATACCAAGTTGATATGTGTTCCATTCTTGTGGAATAGCTTAAATCTACAAATTCAGATGATTCTCTGAATTTTTTATACAGGTCATCAAGACAAAATTGTTCCAGACAGCTTTCTACTTCACGTCACTACTTTTTTATCATGGAGAAAACTGTAGGAGATTATTATTTTAACCACATAGTATATTATATTTTATGGTTTTGTTACTATGGTATGTTATTGTGGTATGAAAGAGAAAGAGATCCTTGTGTATTAGGTATCTCTTCACTATTTTAGTTTTGTTGTATGCTGCCCAGAATTGTTTTGTTTTGTGAAATTGATAAATATATACAATTGATAGATATATAGAAGCTAGATGAAAGATAGATACATAGATAAAACTTTGTTTTCTGAATCATAATCTATAATCATTCTGCTATTATTAGTAATATATATTAATAATCAAAATGGACACATTTAATGATTATATAATTTATGTTAACAAAATTGTTTTTACTGATCTATATGAAAATTCTGTCCTATTTATCTAGGCCATCATGTTTATAAGTTTACGAAAAGATATAATAGCTGAAAGACATATAAAAACATAGATACTGAATACAACATGTCAAAGATGTCAAATTTATATAACCACTATATGTATGTAATTTCATACATATATACAATGTTGGGAGAGAATGAAAGAACAAAAGAATAAACCTCCTTCAAGAATTTTAAATAGTCTTTTTTAAATCTTCATCTAAAGTTGGAGGATTTTAGCAATTCATACATTTATTTCTTCCAAAATACACCTGCTTTCTTTTCCTCTCTTTTCTTTTGCCAAACTAAATATTTTTCCATTTAATGCCTCTCTTTATTAGACAGCATCTAATTTGCATACATTTACATACAATTTAACTGCTTGCTTCTGAGAACAAAGAAGTGGCTCTGTATTGTAGTAAGGGACAATACTCAGAAAAAGAAGGTATAAAAACCCGCTAGCTCAGTGGCTGTGTATTCTTTTTGTTTCAGAAATACTAGGATTTTTAAACACTCCACTTAATGGGTGAAGAAGATTATTCCAACAGACAATGCAAAAAGATACAACGCAGCTTCTTCTTAACACATTTTTCTTTGGCCTGGTTAATGGGATTTATGGTCCAAGATTTCTTTGCTTCTCTTTATTTCTTTTATTAGATTTGATGGATTTAATTTTGTCACATATTTTAATTCGCATGTTATTATGTACAAAGTTATGCGAAAGCTAAACTCTGAGAGCTAATTCAGTATGTTCATCTTCCCCCTATCATTAGGAAAGACTGACTGTTTCAGGATCAGCATGCAATATTGATTTCAGTGCTTAATGTTACTGTTATGAGAATTATAAAGATGGTGATGAAGAAAAAGAAGACTACTATTCAGCTTATGTTCATAGCAAATACAGTGCTTACCATGTAACAAAAGAGAAATCAACAGGATGGGATGGGATGCAAGGCTGAGCTCTGTTTGTAAATACAAGGAGGAATTGTCGCAACGAAAGCAGGAAGCAGCAGAGATGTTAAGCTCTCAAATTTCCTAAAAGATGAGAAAAAGAAACACAAAATTATATGTGAAAAAACTTATCACGAGACAGAGAGTAAGAAAAACCAAATCTGATTATATTCAATATTTCCACACTGACCATTTTTAAGATGGCCAATTCCTAAAATTAATTTTTATACAATTTAAATTAATAAATCTTGCATCGGAAATGAATGTCGCATCTATCTTCATTTTTAGATAAATACAACTCCAGTGATTGGGTAATATTCAGACACTAAAGAATATTGGAGGGCTTAAGTTCCATTTGTTAAGACATGAAGTTACTAATTAATCTATCTCATTTACAGAATTAGTAAAAAAAATTACTAATAAAAAATTCATTAGTAATATATTCTAACTATAATTTTATATTTTATTTATTTATTTGCCTTTTATGACAGCAGCATCACCAGTCCAGACTTAATACAACTAAATTCTGTCATTATAGGCCTTTACATGTTTAGTAAAAAGTTGTACTGTTTTATCAGAGTTTTGGTAATTAAGATTTCTTTCTTATCCTAACATCTGCATAATCTGTTTTATTTTTATAGCCTTATTATAGTCTTATCATTGAGTTAAAAACGAAATATAATAAAAAAGTAAATGAAGATCATATAGAACTTTATTTCTATATTGACATTTCTTTCTATAAGAACTTTCTATAAGAAAAAAAATATGTTTTTCCTCAAAAGTTAAATAATAATATACACACTAGCAAATGTGGTAAGTTGGAAAATAACAACAAATCATATTAAGTTCTACATTGGTATAAAATTTAAGCCCAACAATGCAAAAATAGGTTTTATTATTGAATTAAAAGATAATCCCATAATCTTATAGTCAAAGTTATGATTTTTAAAGTTCAGAAGAACCTAAAACTGCATTTACTGAAAATGGAGTTTTGATATTCTATTTGACTATTGTTTTTTTTTTAATATTGGTGCCATTCACCTCTGTTTCTTCTTTGAAACCTATACCAGACATTAGTTTTTGAGTTCTTCTTTGTAATAAATACATGGTGGAATGGATAAATAAGTATGCTTCATTTATTTAAGATATAATTGATAACTGTTTCTATTTTTTAGAACTGTGGGGACAGTCTTTCATTTATAAGCATTTTAGCTGTGGTTAGAGGATAATATTGTGGGCTAACTCTACTCACTGCCAAGAGTTTGATTCTGACCTGCTCCAAGTTGATTCAGCCTTCCAACCTTCCAAGCTCAGTAAAATGAGGACCCAGATTGTTGGTATCAGTATGCTTACTCTGTAAACTACTCAGGGAATACTGTAAAATACCATGAAGCGGTATATAAGTTAAGTGCTATTGTTATTTATTATACTGTAACTGCAAAGAAAAAGGCAGAAGTCTTGCTCTGAAGAATTATTTCCTTACGCTGGGAAGAGTTAACATGCTCAGATAATTGCAAGTTTGCAGATATTTATGGCAATGAACATTTTGGAGCTCTATGATAGGAAGCTACTTTTGGTTTATAATGTTTCAATTCTATCAGTGATGGGATTCAAATATGTGAACAACTGGTTCTCTGTGTGGATGCCACTTCTGGAAGTCCATTCTGGGCTACCGTTTCTGCTGAAATGGTGTGAACCGGCTGAATCCCACCACTGAATTCTATATATCCAGCCTTTAATATATTGCCATTTTAATTTGAATATATACAACAGAGATTAGTTGTTCTTTAGATAGGGCAATGGTGATTTCTTTTCTATTGTCAAGACATATGGAAAAGCATAGTCATCTTTTAGGATTCATGGTATAAGGCCTACTGAGAAAAACAGAATGTTCAATCAATACAGTAAAACAAAACTGCCTACCAAGCCTTATGTTCGATTTGGGGCATCCCTACTTCAATTCTGAGGACTGCTTTACAGATGCTTTTTGTGTGACAAGTATTTACCTCAAAAATTTAATTTATATGACTTCTGTGGAGCTGTTCCCAACAAAAGGCCAGCCTGTGATAAATATAAGGCCTCAAACAGTTTAAGTGCTGCAGGAATATATTCTCTTCTGACAGAAGAATCTCCCAATAGCCATTAATGCTCCAGTTGCTGTTTCATTTATATATTTATGGTGAGCTTTCCAGGATCCTGAAATCTGGAATATTATCCAGTGTGAAAGGAAACAGAGCTTCTTGCCATTTTGAAGTTTCCTTCTAAAAAATGGAAAATCATAATGGGGTTAAGATTGCTTTAATGAAAATAATTTATCCTTATTTTATTTTGGATGCTCATGGGTTCTTTGTTGAACTTTTTTTTTCCACAGGGTATTTGGCTTTATTTTTTTTCTTCACTCTACAATACTATTTTAATTTGAACATGCATTGAAATGTGAACTGGTCTATGGATGATTACTAAAACAAATCAAACAGGCAGTACAAGTCAGTGATAATTCATTACTCAATTGTAACATAACAGCAGAATATCAGAGTTCAGGTGGATTTAATTAAACTTGATAGTTTATCAATGTTGTCCTCTCTACTACATATTCTCAAGAACTTAAGTAAACAAGTCAACATATAGAAGTTAAAAAAAATGTGAATGTGTCTTATAAATTAATGTAACAAATTTAACATAGCAGTATTTAAATTATCTCTCATTAAAGTGGCCACACATCACTTAACTCAGAGACTTAGCCAAAAGTAAAGTACTGCCATTTCTAAGCAGATTTTTCAGTTGTACTGCCATTTGATGTGCCATTAGGCTAAATGGATTCTCTGGGAGATCAACCCAATGTAATACATTTCATGATTAAGCACAACTAGAGAATATTCCACGTTTTCATACAACTTGCAAAGCTTCTAGTCATTTAAAATCCTCCTATTCCATCTGTTTTGTTATCAGGCAAAGCTGGAATCCTGGAAGTATCACCCTAATCCTAATAAGCTAAATTGTTAGCTGGGCTTCTCTTCTGGGAAGCAACGGGGCATGCCAAAAACATGATAAAACAGTATCCTTCTGTGTAATGAGATAACTTAAAAAATGAACATCTCATTCCATGCCTTCTATTTGGGTTGATTAACCTTCTCGAACCTCTGAGGACAAAATATATAATACATAATAATAATAATCTTCTTTTGATTGACACTCTTGTTTCATAATGTACATTTACAAAATATTATTTATATGTTTATGACTGTTAAATTGTTTTGCTGTTTGATATATGTCTTTGTCAGAGGTGGACCAACAACCTTAACAGTTATTCCTTTTACCTGCTTTCCTATCAAGCCTATAGTTTGTGTTTTTCTTCAACAGAAAAATATAAACCATATTTTTACAATTCAGATGCATTAATTTTTATGTTTGGCACAATACAAAAGATATAGAAAAGGAGTTATATTGATATTATCTTGAGGTTTGTTTTCATATTTCCAAATCAACTGAAATTTAATCAAACTTGCAAAAGTATTATGTGGATAAGTGGTCATTTATGTCATGTGTCAGAGTAGTTCAGGAAATGTCAAATCTATATGAATCTCCTATTGAGCCTGCTCAAAGGACTTCAGAAATTAACTGCTCCTTTCTTGAAAAGACTAACAACTCAGAAAAGTACATATTTTTTTTAAAGAAAACCTATTCCTATTTTCTTCCACAGAATCATAGGTTTGGAATAAACATTGGAGGTCTTCTAGTCCAACTCTCTGTACAAAGCAGGAGTCTTCATACCATCTTGAACAAATGATTATCCAAGGTTTTTTTGAAACATACACTTCTGCAGAATGGGGGCAAAATTAAGCTCCACTGCTTTTTATGCAAAATACATTTAAAAAGTGTAGAGCTTCAGTTTACAGTCAGTTCCATCATCTTGACTTTTGATTCCCCCTTGATAGATGCCAGCATTTACAAATACATGAAATTGTTGTAGGCTTTAAGTGGATTCACTGAAAGCAGTTGATAAGAAGTCATGACTAAAGTCTCACTGATTTTAATAATTTTATTCTAAGGTTTACAAATGTAGAATGCAAGTCTTACTATACATAAAACATCTGATTTTTTTTAAAAAAATCATAGCAACCATTATTATAATGGATGGTATTCCACCAAATGGTTGAATATAAAACTTACAGCACAATTATGATCTTACTAATTATAAATATCTGTATAGTGATCATATGACAACTATATAAAGTTATATATTTGAGGATGGTGAAGATGGAAGACTGAAAAACTAGCACTCTAAAGATATATTTACCTAGTAGCTAGGAAACTTTCATAGTATATTTCAAATACATTTAAACACATAGACTGACTGATTGACTGGCTACACCAGATCAGCACAGTACATTAAGATCAGAAATGATTAAGAAGCCTTCAAGCTTCAGTGAATTAATTTAGTTTGATCATACACACACAAAACACACACACACAAAGTGTGCTGTAATGATTAAAGTTCTGGACTAGTTCTAAGCATAGAAACTGATAGAATGAGTTTGTACTGTTTGCTGTTGGAAAGAGTACTCTGATAAAATATCTAACAGACTTTTAGAAACTGGAGCAAGAATAAGATATATCTTAGTTAAGGAAGTGAAGTAGTTTAAGAAAAAGTCTTACAACAACTCCATCTAAGTTATGCTTAAACAGGCAGATAATTATTTTGGTAGACTTTCAAGGTTAGCATCAAGTCTTTCAAGGTTAACATCAAGCCCCCTGTTGCTGGCCAACACAAGAAACAAGAACCACTTCGATTTTTGGAAAATCCAAATAATATAACTCAATCAAAAAGTAGTGTGATCTATGGTAAGCAATCAAGCAGGTACCAAAAAGCCTATCCTTGATACAAGTTTTCTCATTATGAAGCATAAGCTTTGTTGGAAAAAAAAAAAGATCAGAATCAAAGTTATTATCTTCTTTACAAAAATCTGGGATGTTGCATTGCTTAGGTCAGGACAAGTGTAAGCATTTATTTGCTGGAGATTAAGAACCCTAATGGTGCCAATAAGACTGCTCAAGTAGCAAATAAAATATATGCCTTGAATTTG